TTTCTACATCAGAACTGGTGAGCACAGTTGACATAGATGCTCAGGGAGTAAGAGGCAGAAGGACACTTGGTTATATTTACAGAGGACATCTGTGCTGAAGTTGAACTTGGCTGCAGAGGGAAGCAGCACATTCTCAGCGTCACGGGAAGAGGAATGCTTTGTTCTCTGTCCCTTGCCCCTCACAGAGTCTCTCAGCTCAAACCAAACAGCACTGAGTGAATTAAACAAGTTCATGCTCTCCTCCTACTCCAAGACATCCTCAGTCAAAAGCAGTGGGGAAAAATCCTGCTAAGGGTTCACCTGTAATGTTCTCACAAAAAAATGGCTCCCCAATTTCTGAGTTTCTCTAAAAGAACTCCTGTTAATAAGGCACTGCTGCTTCAAGCTTCATCATCACAAGCCCTGCACAGCAGCTAAATGTCAACAAAATGCCCACAAACATTGGTATAATGTGACATGGAGTTTACTAAACTAGATTAGAAAAGCAAAGACTTCCAGCTCCTTACAAATATTCCACTGTCAGCTCCCAATTCAGACATTGCTTGTGAACTATAAACCACCCCAATTTTACACTTAATTATTTTTCTGAGGGAGAATGAATTCCTGACACATTTGAAACAGGGAGATTTTAAGAAAAAGAAATTTGGATCCAAAAGGCTGCAGAGCTCACAAGGCACCAACTATTTTTCTGCTGTGCTTATTCCTGATTAAAATCCTTTCAACCAAGCTATCTAAGCTCTGTACTCTCTCACCATCCCTGGCTAGCTCAGGAACACAGAAATTTACTTAAGATGGGTTTTGGCTGATCTTAGAACATCATAACAGCAGTTACAAAGAAGAGTGTTTTCCAAGGCATTTTGCTGCAGTTTGTCCTGTTGTAACTCCAGATATCTGCACCTCCATAGGTGCTGCTGCTTTGAAGAGCTTTGTGTGCTCTGTTATGATTGCAGGTGGTCAAACCCAATACAAACTCGTGTGCAGGGATGCAGTTTGCCAATCACAGCTCCAGCACTGAAGGGCTGTGTGCTGATGGCTGCTGTGCAGCCAACCCACCTGTCAAGACACAGGGAGAAATTACTTAAAATGAAGAACCCCTGGTGTAAATCAAATATTGATGAAAGGAGGCCTTTAATCACCTGCCTGCTGCTCCACGAGGCACTGCGAGAGTTGATTTCAGACTTATTTACTGAGTTCCTTTCACCTTTCCCCCCTTCATTAATTTGCTGGGAAATGCTAAATGGAGAGATGGAAGCCTGTTGGCTAAAGAACAGATTTTTTTTGCAAGCACTGCTGGCTCTGGTACTCTTCCTTTCTACTTTTCTACTTAAAGGAGACCTTCCTACACATACACACACTCTGCAGAATGAACAGTGCAGTCATGGCACTACCTACATCTTATTCAACACCACGATATATTTACTCAGTCTGCTTCCAGCTGCATGCTTTAGACCTGCTCATTAGTCTTGAGCCCTCTCTGGCTCTTTTTATCTTGGGAGATTTGACCATGGGTGCAGGTACAAGGACTTCACAGCTTAAAGTTCCTTTAATCAGGTTGCTTATCTTTGTCTGCTTGCTCACTTCTGCTTAGGGCAGCTGGGGGAGAGCATTTGGAAGAAACTGGATAAGAGAATTGGAATTAAGAGATAGGCCCACATCTTTCCACTCAGTTTTAGGGATCTGACTACTAGCCAGGCACACTGTTTTGGCCAAGGACGTTGCATTTTTTGATTGTTAGTCACTTTTTCTCTGTCCTGGATTAAGAAGAGTTCAAAGCCATAAAGGAAAGAGAGAATGGAATGAAAACAGTCGTGTGGGGGGCTGTGAAAAACAACATTGCTGTGAAGCTGGGATAATAAACAGTGACCCATGATGATCATTACTGAGCAGCTACAAAAGCACTGGGAAAAAGGGAAACATCACTCAGCTGCAATGGAGTCTTTAAGTGACTGGTCTGAACATCCGCTCAGATGGTTGGGAAATCAGCAGGGCTTGAGGGAGCCCAGACATTTTGCTATTAAAAACCTTGATGTCCTCTCAGCACTGATGGCAGGAACACGTCTGGAGGTGCAGAGCATCTGTTCAGCTCCCTCTCCTGAAGCTGGCTGCAGTCTCAGCACGGAGAACGTTTAACTGTTTCCCCCATGCACTTCCTGCCTGATGCAGGATGCTGTCTCCCACAGCAATAAAGGAAATGATAGCCTCCCATATACATTCAAGTAATAATAAAATAAGAAGTAGGTAATAATAACCAGAGCCATATGAAATATGCACTTCATGAACCAAAATTAAACTGGAGAAATGGCTAAGCAGGAAAGGTCAGGGCTCATAAACTGAACATAATCTCCTGTGCTTTACGCCTCCCTCCCCAAAAGCAAATTAAATTTTAATGATTTTTGGAAGCTTTGACTGCTAAATACCATTTCCAACCTTCTGTATGAAATGACAGCATAACCCTAAGGCCAGTGAAAGTGGCCAAGACCGTGTACTTTTACACGCAGTGTGTTGGATTATTCCCTGATGTATAGAACATCCTGGTGGGGTGACGCAAGCAGTTAGGACTGGAAGTTCTGCTCAGAGCTCAGAACATCAAGGTGACTGAGAAGGGGACTTCAGTGTCCACCAGGATCAGAAAGGAGAGTGTCAGGAGGATGTCAGGGGCCAAGCAAGGAGAAAAGGCAGAAACTGATGCACAGGAGGTTCCACCTGAATATGAGGAAGGATTTTGCTGTGCAGGGACCGAGCACTTAGACAGGTTGCCCAGAGAGGTGAAGATTCTCCTTCACTGGAGATATTCCAGAACTTTCTGGACATAATCCTGTGCCATGTGCTCTGGGATGGCCCTGCTGGAGCAGATGAGCCACTGTGGTCCCTACCAACCTGACCCACTCTGGGACTCTGTGATCTTCACTGCTCTAATGTTGACAGTGCCACAAAAAATCCATCCTAGAGCAGAAGAAAAGGGTGCTGTGCTCACTTTACATAAAATTAAACATCCACACTAACTGTAATATGTTGGGAGAGAAGGCTTAAATTATTCAGTAAAGGTAGGTTATTGATACAACTCAAAAACTGCAAATCTTTGCTTCAGAACACAGGTATGGTCTTTTTAGTTATTTTTCTCACTACTACTCTATTGATATGAGTATTTCATATTCTGAACTCCATTCAGTATCCATAAATCAGGATGATAGAAGAAAATGAAAGCCTAACATGGTTTCTAAGATATTTCTTCAGCTTCAGATGAATTTTTTAGTCTTTGATTGAAATTACAGGTATTAAGCTGGGAAGTAAAACAGCACAAAATTAATGTGGACCCCAGCAAGAAAATTTTTAGGACCCTGGTCTAATGTGTCTGGAACACACATAAAGAAAAGGAACTCAGTTTGAAATGCAGTAGAGGCTGTACCTAAGTCAAACCACAGGTAACTCCTCACACCAAATACTTCCTCCATGTTCATCTCAACTGCTAAATAAACAACTAAAATTGGCAGCAGATTTTAAAGGGGTTGTTGGTGGCTTATTCAGTTACTTGAACTGGTTATTTAGTTTACATATTTGTTTAAAACTTGTTTGTTTTCAAATAAAATGAACACAAAATGCAAGGTAATAGTAGTTCTTAAATTATTTTCAGACCAAAAATAATTAAACTGGAAGAGTAAAAGCTTTCTTAAATATATTCTGCACTGACTCAGATGTATTAAATAAATTTGCATGAAAAAAGGATGGGTTTTTTGAGAGCTTTCTAAGCATACAAAATCATGGCATTCACAGTAGAAGTCAAAACATCAAAATACAAACAAACTTCAACTTTCATGATAAACAAATATTATTTCTACTGCCAACCTGTACATCACCATTCATTTAAAAATAATCTGCAGTGATGAATCTTTCCTGTTTTACAGAAGAAGAAATAGGAATTAAATTTCATACAGTCAGCAGAAAAAATCTGTACTAAAACTTGTTCCCAACTCATCCTGCTCTGATTGTTGGACACACTGGGAATTAGAATTAGTGTTTGTATTCTGTGTTGTTTAGGAGTATGGGAAAAGTGACTGGCAGAACACAAGAAAGGCAGAGGAGATGCATAAATAAAAAAAAGCCAGCCTTTTCTGATGTGAGACTGTGGTGATGACAATTGCAGAACAAGCCTCTCTTCACAAAAATCAGATCATCTCCAGGTCATTATCACACTCGCAAAAAACCTCTGAGCATCGCTGACTTTTCACAGCTTTTGTGCTCGCCCATCTGTCATTGCATCCCTGCCTTGCTCTCAGCCGGGGGATGAATGGCAGGGAAAGCAGCGGGGTAATTAAGGGGGCTGCTGTCTCGGGAGGTGCCCCCTTTGTGCCGGGCAGCTCTAACGTGTTCCTCAGAGCACGCAGAACAGTCGGGAGCGCTCCTGGGCTGGAGAAGCATTACACAAAAATGATAAATAAAAACAAAAGGATAAGGAAGCTCATGACATGCAGATAAATGTATTCGGTTGAAGGACTGATTGCCATTTAACTTTCCAGCCCGCTCACGTTGTGATAAGCTCACAAATAAATAAGTGGTTACACAATAAACTCCAGGAGATGCTTGCTGGTGAGAGGAAAGCTGATGTCTTTAAAAATTATTTGATGGGGAAAGATATGGGTGTTAACATCTTTGAAAGGCATCTTAATGTCTCTACTAGCTCCAAGGAGCAGGTTTGCTGCAGAGCCCAGACAGCCTGGCTCCTGAAACAGAGAAGTGGGTCTGCGCACACCTGAACTTCTGAACTTTGGGATAAAATAGTAGCTTCAAGGGGGAATTATTGAAGGTAGGCGGCTCGGGAAGGCTGTGCCTTCCCAAAATCTCAGCCGGTGGGTACCGAGAGGGGGCGATGAGAGAAAATGCCGCGGCAACAAATACCCAGAGCGGGCAGTAAGGTGCTGGTTTGGGGCAGGATTTGTCCAAGGGAGTCTGGAGAAATATGATTAAGACAAGCAGCAGCGGGAACAAGGCGTGGTAAAGGAAAGAACAGCGAGACTGGGAAGCTCTCTGCTTCAAAACCTGCAGGCTAACCGAGGGCCAGCTGCAAGTGGTTTGTACCGCCCGCCTCCAGGAGAGGGAAAGCAGGGAAGCGCAGCTCCTACAGCCCCAGCAATCCACGGGACATTTTGGTACAAATGGTGCTGTTTTTGGTGGAGGGACGTGGTGCTGTGCAGAGCTTGTGGTGCGGGCAGAGCGGCCCGGGGGCTGCGCGGGTGTGGGGGGATCTGGGAATTGCGGCAGGACAGGGACGGATTTGGTGCGGGGTGGGAGGCACAGGACAGGCTGTGGTGTCCCGGTGAGGCACAGGGACAGGGTTTGGGGTGCCCTGTAAGGCACAGGACAGGCTGTGGTGTGCTCAGTAAGATACAGGGACAAGCTGTGGTGTCCATGTAAGGTACAGGGACAGGCTGTGGTGTATGGCACCTTTGGTGTACCCTGTAAGAGACAATGTGTCCCCAAAGCCTGGCCTGACATGCAAAGGGATTTTGTTTAAGCTGAGTGATTTTGCAGAGTTTGGTGGCTGTGGGAGGGTGAGAGCCCAGGTGCAGTGGGAGCAGGGGGTGGAGAGGTGGCTGAGCCTGCCAGGAATTGGTTAGAAAGGGATCTCAGAGAGGTGTGAAAGAAGGGATGAGGAAAAGGTACAGGCAAGGATAATGGCACAGTTTTTACAGCCCCCAGTGGGGAAAAGCACAGCGAACCTCAGGACAATATGGAAGGGGGCAGCCACCAGGACAGTGACTGGGAAGGAGTCAGTGTGCCTTTTGTAAAAAGAACATTAGAAATGGATTGTTCAGTGTCAGATCTGCTGTTGTACCCAGGCTCACCACACTGGAGCCTTTGCTGCACCAAGAAGTGTTTCCTGGTAGACAGAAGTTCCTGGGAACTTCTCTGTCTGATTTGAATTTTATGCCAAAGGGGGAACAATTGTTCAGATGATTTTTGGTGAGTGGGAAAGATGAGCATTTGGTTCAAGCACTGTTGGTGAATGTGTGTGTGGATGGGAATGAGCACTGTGTGTGTTATATCCACAGCTACCTCTGCCCATTCCCTTCAAACACATTGCACAGGATTGGGAGATGCCAGGAAGAATGAGATGTGAGCAGTCTTGTGTCCACTGAGTTGTTTTACACTTTTTGTCTGTGGAACAATAGTAATTGCTTTTGGGTTTTTTAACCCAGTTTAAGACTCTGTAGTGACTGTGTGCAGCCAAACTGAAGGGCTGCCATGATCCAGCTGAGTTCTCTGGCTTGCTCAGATCCTGCTGCTGCGGAGCCAGCTCCTCAAGAAGAGATGGATGGAGGCACCAGGCAGGGAGGGGATCTGTAGGAGAGCCTGCCTGGCACCCCTGCCCCTGCCAGCCTGGTTCTGATGGGCTGCTCCTCCCCAGGAGTGAGGGTGCAGAACCCCAAGGGCTGCTTGAGCTCACAGGGGTTTCTTGAGATCATTTGGGGTTTCTTGAGGTCACTGCAGTCCCTGGGAGGCTATCTCTCTGCTAATGGGCCAGCAAGTGTCACTGCATGCCTCATAAATGACATCATCCCATTGTGAGATGCTCCGCCCTGGGGGAGGAGCCAAGCACCTACCTGGATATATTCAGGGGTTTTGGAACAGCAGCCTTTTCTACAGGATTCCCAGGGGACAAGAGCTACCTCAGAAGAAGACCAGACCCTTCTACGTGATCACTGCCTGAAGAGAACCGCATCCATCACTCCAGGAGGACTGCAGCCACCATTTAATAGGACTGCTGCCACCACCCTGACCCCCAGGGTGCCACGTTGTATCCTGACTCTGTCAGTGTTTCGGTATTATTGCATTTATTTTATTTTTTCCTATTAAATTGTACTTCTGACTTGGAATCTCCCACTGGTTTATTTTCAGACTAGTACATATTTTGGCATCCAATGTGGAGCCAGTCCTGAGAGAAGGCAGAATTACAATTTTGTATTACAAAAGAGCACCTATTTACCATGATGCTGAACATGCTTACATGGGTCTTATACCTTGCTCTCTGTATTTTTCTGCACAAGGGGAACTACCTGTCTGCTGTAATGCTCCTGTTGAGGCCGGGGAATGGTGTGTCAATTGCTTTATTGGTTTATTATGTCTATTGCGTGATAACCTCTGAGGCAGTGAACATCATTTGAAATATACATTTAATTTTGTTTGTTTGTCCCAGTCTGGGATACTACATCTGGGTCCTCCTCAACAATCACACCCAGACCTTGGGGGTTAGAGTAGAGAATGTTTCTTCCAGCCTTTCAGACCTGACACCGCAGTTTTTAAGAAGAGCTCATCAGAATCAACAGTGCTCTGGTCTTGTGGACAGAACTGCTGTTGGTACAGGAATGATAATATTTTTCTGATTCTCTTGAAGGGACCTCAGGAACACATTTACAGGAGGAGACCAACGCGTACCTTGGCCAGGATTAGAGGAACCCTGCCTCTAGCCAGGTGGAGGAAAGAGACAATTCTACTGGACTGTGTGGATGCCATGGCCTGTCTGCCCCACAAAGGTACAGCTTTGGTGGGCTCTGGCACTCAGGGCAGCCTGGTGCCACCAAGGCATGTGGGAGTGGAATCCATTTGTGTTTCTGGGGTGACAGGAGGATCCCACAGCTGACGTGCATTTGTATGGGAAGGAGTGGCACAAACATTCCACGGTGGCTGGCCCTGAGACCCTGCATCCTCAGCACAGACCATCTCAGAAATGGGTATTTCAAGTACATCATTGGGTTTTGGGATTGCTGCTGCAGAGACAGAAACCTGAACACCCTGCCTGGTCTCTCAGATGAGCCCCTTGCTGCTGGACTGCTGAGAGTTGAAGAGTTGAAGAACAACAGGTACCAATCACCACAGCAACACTGCACCATCAACAATTCTTCATCATAACATAAATTTGCTGTGGAACATCTCAACAAGGGCAAAGTGCCTTTTTTTTTTTTTTTTTTCCTCCTTTAATTAAAACAAAATAAAACCCTAAATAAGACTTGTCTCAACTTGTCTCTGTGCTTCCCATTCCCATTAGATTATTTAGGAACTAGGGAGCCAAGGCAGCCCCATAAGGCCAGTGCCTAAGTCCAGTGGGGACTGACCATGGAGGGCCAGGGCCTGGATGAAGTCAAACCACTGAGGGCTGCTGTGCCAGACATTCTGGGTTATTTTCAAACTGGCACAGGTTACTTGAGGTCATTTGGGGACCTGATCAAGGTTACTTGAGGTCATAGGGGTCGTTTGAGGTCACAATCGAGGTTACTCCAGGTCATAGGGGTCATTTGAGGTCATAGGGGTTACTTGAGGTCATTTGAGAATTTTTTGGTTTCTCCAGGGGTTACTTTAGGTCATTTCAGACCGTTCTCGGGGTCATTTGAGGTCAAAATTGAGGTTACTCCAGGTCATAGGGGTCGTTTGAGGTCATGATTGGGGTTACTCCAGGTCATAGGGGTCATTTCAGGTCACAGAGGTTACTTTAGGTCATTTGAGACCCTGTTCGGGGTAATTTGAGGTCATGATCGGGGTTACTTCAGGTCGTAGGGGTCGTCTGAGGTCACAATCGAGGTTACTCCAGGACATAGGGGTCATTTGAGGTCATGATCGGGGTTACTTCAGGTCGTAGGGGTCGTCTGAGGTCACAATCGAGGTTACTCCAGGACATAGGGGTCATTTGAGGTCATGATCGGGGTTACTTCAGGTCGTAGGGGTCGTCTGAGGTCACAATCGAGGTTACTCCAGGACATAGGGGTCATTTGAGGTCATGATCGGGGTTACTTCAGGTCGTAGGGGTCGTCTGAGGTCACAATCGAGGTTACTCTAGGTCATAGGGGTCATTTCAGGTCACAGAGGTTACTTTAGGTCATTTGAGAATTTTTTGGTTTCTTCAGGGGTTACTTTAGGTCATTTGAGACCCTGCTTGGAGTCATTTGAGGTCATGATCGGGGTTACTTCAGGTCGTAGGGGTCGTCTGAGGTCACAATCGAGGTTACTCCAGGTCATAGGGGTCATTTGAGGTCATGATGGGGTTACTTTAGGTCACAGGGGTTACTTGAGGTCATCTCACTATTTAAACATTTTATTTTAATATTTGATTTGATTTTCTTTAATCTTTGCTTGAGTGAGTTTGGGATCACTTGAAATGGAAGCCCAGTCACACAGACGCTGCCTCTGGACTTTGCTGTCCATAACATGCTGCCAGGACAGCTGGACATGGGTGGACAGCTCACACTCAGCTCAAGGTCTCTAAAACCCTGGAGGTTTGGACTTCTCAGCAGGAGGAAAAAGATGGGAGACCTTGTCTATCAGTAGCCATGGGCAAGGACCTCTAGTAATTAATGGGCTAATGGAAGTGACAGTGTCTGCTTTATTCCCTGGATTTATTTGCCACGCCTCTTGCACGACCAGAGATGGAAAAGTCAGGGGGTGTTTCAAGTGTTCCAGGTTGTTCAAAAGGGTTCAGTTCATAACCAGGCTTTGTAAGGTAAAGTGAGAACTAGGAGGAGGGATTGAGAGGAAAGTTCACGTGTGTACAAACAATTTGCGGGGTGAAGGTATGGGTGTTAACATCTTTGAAACGGGTCTTGGTGTTTCTGCTAGCTTCAAGCAGCAGGTTTGCTGCAGAGCCCAGACAGGCTTGTGCCCTGGTTGAGTCTCTTTTTATTCCAACAAAGTTGCAGGAATCCTCTGTCTCCTTTCTGGACATAAACTTCTGGCATTTGTGGATTTTTCTGACACAGGAAATTGCTATACCTGCTATTCTCCAGTACTTGTGGAAGCAGTGGAAATACTATACCTCTTCAGAACTGCTCCTTTTGCTGGTTTCTCTTGAAAAAACTGTACCTGCTGAAATTGTAGCAGAGCCCCAAACATTTTTTTAATCCATGAAAAACATCTCTCGAGAGATGGAACCTATTGGAGTTCAGAAAGCTGCAGGCATTCCTCTCATTCACCTCCTCTCTGCTGGCACAGGAAGGAACTTGGATCCATCTCAGCAGCCTTACCTTGACATCCCTGCAGAGCCCAGAAGCATCCTGAATCACTCTGCTGTGCCACAACCACTTAATCACACTTGTTACAGCTGTGGTTACCACTGGAACAATAATTACAGCTGTACCATGCCCCTCCCAGGCAGAAGGATATTTGTCCTCTCCCCTCATCACACCTTCCACAGAAATTTCTTATGTTTTGAGACGTGGCAGTGATGTGGGGTTTGCTGCTGAAAGTCTCAAACATTTGTTTTCTGCTTGCCCACTTGCAATATCTGAGCAAGAGCTGTGCCTTTGCACCATCAAGCATTCTGCAAGATGTGACAAGACAATCCCTGGAGAGAAAAAAAACCTATCCAAATTCCCACTTTTCCCAGGATTTTTAACTTGCTGTTAATCCATGTGACTCGTTTTCAATGAGATTATTAGATCCTGAGAAACAAACCCTGCATTAATCTTACATCTTGTAATTCTGACAATTAAAGCTTTCGCTGCTGCTCGGAGTTGGACACACAGGCTCTTATTTTCTCCTTTTGACTTCACAATTATTTCTCACTTATATCCTTTTAAAGGTACATTTATATCTACATGGATTTGCACTGTGAGTTTTGCAGCACATTTCTGAGGTGATGTGCTCCATCCATACATTACAGGTCTCAGAATCACACAATCAAGGGTAGGCACTGAACTAAAAAATTATTCCAAAGACAAGATGCTGGATTTCTTGAGGTTGAGAATTGATGAGGAATGGCCCTATGTCCCTGTTTTTTACCTGTGGTTTGTGCTGATAAATTTGAGGGTTAATTTGATTTAATTTAATTCAGAACTTGAGTATAATTTTTTTATAAATATAAATACATTTATTTATAATAATTTTATAAAATCCAGGAGGAATATTTATCTATATTGAAGGATATGTAAAACTGATCATAACTTACTCGAGATAAAGAGGTTTGAGGAGCTTCTCCATGGTTAAATCTTGAATCATTGCTGGACAGCATGGACATGGAACTTCCCTACAAAGACAGGCTGAGAAAGTTGGGAATTTTTATTAAGCGGCACTCACCATGCTTGGTTAGGGGAGTCACTAAACAGAGGAAACTATTCACAGGTGTTTTACTCATTTCAGTTTTTACAGAACTAAAATGAGGTCTTTTCCCTTTTATTTGACACTTATATGACGGATAATCTATCTTCAGACAGCTAAATTTCAGGTCCATATCCTATTAATAGAGATAGACCTTAAATTCAATATTCTAAACTGCTCTAAGCAGCATTTCTGTCTCTATGTTGATTACTTGAGAGCCTGATTTTTAGTCATAGACCACTAAAACTGCATTTCAGTGCACAGTGTTAGAAATTGGGTCAAATAAATAAAATGCACGACATGACTTTTCAGGATGGCTTACATGTACCATAAGAAATATAAATCTGATTTATGCCATAAATGCTCTTACAGTTAACTACCAGCAATGCAGCTAAAGTGAATGCAAAACCTCGAGATTTCAGTCCTAAAGAGTTAGAAATTATTGACTTAAATTTTTCTGTACAAGTCTCCCACACAATTATTGTAGGTCATTTTGATGTTGGCCACATAAAAGAGTGCTGGAATTCCTCTAGTTCTTACACAAATTATTCTGATTGCATCTACCCTGACATAATCCATAATTCCTTTGTATCTTTCTTTACTGAGCTTTCCTCTCTAGTTTCTTACATTTTTTTACCATTATTTCAGAATCTTGGCTTTGTCTGTTTGGATGTTTTGTTGGTTTGGGGTGGTTTTTTTTGTTGTTTTGGGGGTTTTGGTGGAGTTTTTTGGGAGTGGGGTTTGCATGGGGCAGGGGAGCTGCTGAGAATTCCCTTCAAAGAGGTTTTGCCTACAGTAAGGGCAGTTATTAAGTAATTATGCATTTTAAATGTGGGAAGGGCTCATAAAACAGAAATACACACATCAAATATTTCCCTGGGCAAGATTTGACAGAGGGAAGGATGGGAACAGGATGCAGTTTAACTTAAGCTTTAATAATGTCCCCAGCTGAGGCCACACGAAGCAGAAAGATCCAGTGTTTGTCTCCACAGACAATCACACTGACAGTGTTTATCAATCACAGACAAAGCAAGAAGTGCCAACAAGCCCTGTCCCCACCTTGCCTGAGACAGTCCCCTGACAGACACTGCCCCATTCCTGTGCTCCCACTATTAAATTATCCTTGTCTAGGCTGCTTCTGTCACAGATCTCTGGAGCAGCTCCCATCTCACAGGGCAGGATTACTTATCCTGTGGCCTTTCTCTCTTTCACAGATGTCTAAACCCATATACACCTGTCGGATTTCTATCAGCTCCTTCCTGGGGAGACCTAATCTATCTGTCTCTGGCAATCTGCACAGCAGCCACGAGAGACAGGAACCATCCTGCTAAGTGCAGCCTGTCCTGCCTATCTGGAGCCAGGACAACAATTCATTAATCCTGTCTGAACCAACAGGCCAGTGACTATTTTTACATATATGAAAATACAGACTGTACAGATATTTAATGGTTATGGCAGCACACATCTGTTCCAGCATGGGGTGGCACACAGACAGCAGAAGAGCAGTGGGTGTCACACACAGCACTGATGTCTGCCCTGTGCCTTTAAAAACTGACCACACATCCCATTGAAAGAATCCCGTAAATGTCAGTCAAGGCATAATTAGTGTCTGCAAAGGTACTTCCTGGCAATAATTGATTTCTTAATCCAGATCCCAATCTGCTCCACCGATATTCTTTAATGACTTTCTGAAGTCAGTGATAACAAATTGGATAAGAATAGATGTTTTTGTCAATCTGGAGGACTCACAGGAGACACAAAGGCGGAGTTAACGTGGTGCTGTTGCCAAGAGTGACTGAGCAAACAGTGTTTGCAATTACAATTCACCTCCCTAACTTCGTTTCCAGCAAAG